TGAAAGTTCATTTCACTTCGCTTCACTTTGTCTTCTTCTCACTTATTAACCCTACGTTGATTTTTAATTTCATCTGAAGAACAGAAGTAGGATACATTACATACTGTTTATATGCTGTGTCTCTTTCATGTGTCCCTCTTTATTGTGTTTTATTTTGTTGGTGGGTTAATTTTTTTTTCGTGTTACTTTTCTAATGTGTTGTTTTTCCATTTGACAGCGTAATGTTCTTCCTACCTTTTTTTAAAAAAATGTGTTATAATCAGGGGCGAAGGCTGACTTGTTTGACAGGGTAATCAAAGTGAAATGGGACCAGATAGGGCCTGTAGATATCACACACAAGAAGCTTACTCGAGGCGGCGACTCTGAGTTGTGAATGAAAACAAATCCGGAATTCATATTGTATGTTCAACCGTCAAAATAATCGGGAAAGTATCTTATTAAATATCAGTTCCCACTAAAATTAAACTTAACTTTAGATGTGAATACATAAACATAAAGCAAAGAAGCAGAGATGTCAGTACTAGATCTATATGTTATAGATCTACCAGTGAGTCTAACTCTTTGGTAGAACATGACAATTATTATTTTTTAAATTTCACATTTGGCTGTTTTTGTTAGCCTTTCGCGGCCAGGAGCTGGTGTCATAATCGAGGTCACGATCTGATTATAGGACGGTAAAAAGTCGAGGAAAAAAAACAAGCACAAGCAGCAGTCAAGACATTATTAAGAGTTAGTTCCCCTCACATTTGTGAGGTAGACTCGACCAGTGTTAGTTAGCTTACTTAATCAGGGCTGGTGATTGATTTTAACTGTGGCCCCAAAGGGGTGAACAGGGTGTATGTGGCAATGAAACAGCTTTGACTGCCATGCACATGTTCCCTTCAACTCTATTCCAGCCTCACTTTATTTGTTGATTACGAACGTCTTTTGACATTTAATTTATGAGGTTTGTTTGTTTAGTATAGGGTTTTACGGCGCTCGCAACTGCATAAGGTCATATGAGCGCGCGGGACACACCTAATACTTTTTCGTTGGTAGGAAATTTTGAATTTTGCCCGGGTGGCGGCCGAAGCCTACTCTTATCGATTTTAGACCACCAAGGGATCTTTAACGTGCGCAACTTGCACACGGGCCCTCCGTGATTTTTCGCCCTTGTCCGAGAAGGCTAGGTGTAGATCTTTCCTACCAGAAGATCAGGGGTGTGGCAGAATGACAGCAGTTAGGAGGAGCCAAGGAGTAGCAGTAGAAAGGCTGCAGAAAGAGTCAGGAGCCCAGAGGAGGGGGCAAAGGAGGTGAGGGGGGGGGGGGCAGAAAGTGGAAATGAAAGCAGACAACAGAACATTGTTAGAGATCAGGAAAGGATGTGAAAGGAGACAATTTTAGAGAAGAAAATTTTTTGGTCGCTACCCGGAATCGAACCCGGGACCTTTGAATGAGAGGCCAACACCTTAACCTCTAGGCCACGAGAGCCCCTTATGAGGTTTACGTTTAAGGATGAATTTGACAGCGACAATGTTTCAAAATTAGAAAGGGAAGCAGTGATTGTTTGATTATATAGACGCTTCGCCCCTGCAAACAACAACAACAAAAAACAAATAAACAACAACAACAAAACAAAACCCAACAAAATAAACAAACACTGAAAAAACAAACAGAAACTTAAAACCATGTCCTTTTGTGTCTTCTAAGTTTTAGTGAGAGTTTTACGGTACTTGCAACACAATAAGGTCATATAAGTACCGAAGATTAATTAAAGATGTTAAAAAGAGAGTAACAAACACAAAATAGATGGACTGGAGATAATGACGACAGATGTTTGAAAGGAAAGAAGGAGCACACAACACCAGAGCACCCACCAACCACTCACTCTGTGTCTTGTGTACTCACATGGGCCAGGCTTCCAGGCGTACCTGGGCTACATGACGGTGGAGATGTCACAGAGCCATCCTGTGATGCTGGTCTTTCTCAGGCTGTGTGCTCTGGGGGCACGGGGACGACACAGGTGGCCGCACGGGGGGCTAGAAGAGATTGTCACTTCCGGGCACCCCGAGAAGGTCAAGGACGGTGAAGTTGGCTCTTTGAGTAAGTCATTCTTTTTTTATGTTGAGATTTGTGTGTGTGTTTTTTTTTTAAGTAGCTTTTTTTACGCTCCTATCAAGACACTTTAGATAATTTAAGAGGCGGGCTTCCGACTCTACCTGTCAAGACCAACCTGAGCTGAGAGGGATGGAAGACTCGTTAAATATTTTTCCCGTTCGGGAATCCAACCAAAATATTATCTTACATGCCTCAAAGAAGCACCTCACAGCTACAACACACACGCTGGTTATCCAGTTGGTGACTTTCTACCTTGTTTTATTGCGTAGTAAGCTTGTTACGGCACTTGCAACACAGTTATGTCACAAAAGTAAGTGCCAAAGATTAAAGGAGATGTTACAAGAGAGTAACAACACAGAAAAGATAGAAGAGAGTTATGGCATTCGTTTTGTAAGGTTCTACGGCGCTCGCAACTGCATGAAGTCATAATATGAGAAGAGAAATAAGGACAATAGATGTTTAACAGAAAAGAAGAAGTAAACTACATCAAAACATCCACCAACCACCCTCCTCTTTGTTTTAAAACCTTTCAGAAGCTGTGAGAGAACGGGAGCGAAAACGCCAAGCGGCTGCCTTCAACTGGCACATCCTGTACACACTGATCAACAATCCGGAACTGCGCCTCCACCGGAAGGGCTACGTGTCCAACATGCGCAGAGCGCGGGAACTGGGCATCCGGGTACCTGTTAGTGATGGGGTCACGGTGCTGGGCCAAGACTTCCTGCAGCAGTTGGAGGAAGCAGAGGGGGGCGGGGTCGAAGACGTTCTCACCAAAGCAGGGGCCATGATGGGCAAGAAAGCCGCGGTATTCAAGACGAAAGTGCTGCGAAAAGCCAGACATTTGGTGCGCAAATCTTCCAGCTTCGTGCCCGAACCGCAAGTGAGCGGGTCGGTGATATAGAGGAGTCCATAAATGTCATAAAAACCCCGAACTTCAATTTAATTGCAAAAGTTTTGATTTTAGGTTCAATAGTTTGACTATCAACTCTAAAACAACTCCTAAAAAAAGGAGGATGATAGTAACGTCGGAAGCTGGTCAAATTAAGCAAAATGACGTCATCACAGACAACTAATTACGGAAAAATCTAAAATGTATCAAAACACCACCATGTAGCACCTCGTTTTAAAGGTCTTGATGAGATACATCTGAATCCATGAAAATAACTATACTATTGTCCATTCCGTGCGAACTGTTTGCTATCTAATCGTCCAGTCAGCAAGAGGCTCTCGAGAGGAAGAGTTTAAGCAGCTGATTCCTTTGCACTCTCCACATACTAGTGAACACTCAAGTCCATGTTTTCTGCACGTGCATTGCTTTGAACGACAGTCTGACTTGCAATTGCACAGGATCAACTTCAATATAGATGTTGTTCCTGTAGTGTCTACATCAGCTGGAGGTAAATGTACACCGATTTAGCATACAGAGAGTGCCCAGAGGCAGCAAGGTAAGGGAGCATTTCTATCATGGAATGAAGATGTAAGTTCCAGTTTCCGGTTCTTTCACCCTTGATGAATCTCCTCAGTATATCCAGCATCTCCATATATTGAAGCCAAAGACGTAACGTGTAACTAGTTAGAAGCTTTGATTTAGTTTCAGCAAATTTTGTTTCTATCCAGTCAAGTTCTTGACTTGAGGCTACAACGGCTGCGGATACCTTTCCTCACTACCTGATCAAAAAGCCGAAGACAAGATGAAAGATCTGAATCATCAATTATTATTTTTCACCTCATTTTTAGAGCATGTGTTGTCTCCTTCTTCCATTTCCTCATCTTCTGATGCAGAGATCTCCCTCGTTTTACCAGGGGCTGTGGTAGCTGAGTCTGTTTCTTCTTATACGATTGACGGGAGAGCGATGTCGAAAGTACTGGAGGTCAGTAGGGCATTCAATACTGAATCAACGAGAAGGTGTCCCCTCACAGCTCTGGCGACTGCCTTTCCTGAGAGCATATGCACAACGGCATCTGGAGCATATATCACTTCGAGGATCTCTCGCAGTCCAGACCCTGTCATCAGATGACCGATGGTTCCCAGGTAGCTCAGCTGCAATATTAAACCCACCCAGTTGTAATATTAATGAACGTAAGTGACTGTCAGCAGGCTCACTGTCAACAATAAGCTGATCTTTCCACCAAAGAGGTTGATCTAATGTGAGCACAGGCTTGACCTTGTATTTGGCTGCTCCGTTCGATACAAAGGGGAGAGTGGAATATATGCAACTCATGTTTGTGGGCGGCATGTCGATCATGGGCAAGAAGGTGATCGTGCTCTGACCAGGATAACTTCCTTCTGATACTGTCCAGACCAACCAATACGCGGTGTTCGTAGAGGCCATGAAACTTTCCATAATAGGTCTAGTTTTTTGGTGATGTCTTCAAACCCGAAGTCCTGAAGCTCTTCATACTTTAACGAGATGTCAATCTTTGATGAACTGAAAAAGTGGACAGGGATCTGAACATGGGTGGATGTTTGAAGTGCAGTTACACTGGTATCTCGACGTATCAGCCTGGAAAGCTTCTCACTTGGGGTTGCTGTTCCAATGATTCCCATCCCATGGAAGGTTCATAAACCGTCCGGTGTTCTAAAGTTGTGGTCAACATTGTCTGCCACAAACTGTATAAAGCTGTCTCAACTTACACCAGAAAGACCTGTGCCTTGACTGGAGGCTGCACACTGTTCGAAGCTCTGAACTTCATGATAAAGGGAACAGAATCCAAGACTGTGCAACAAGTCAATTAGAGCCCGAGATCCATGAAGGTGATGCAGTGGCACACCTCATTGCTTGCATCATAGCTTGACCAATGGAAGCTGTTTTTAATTTTGTTTCCTTCTTTTTGTTCATTAAAAGTCTGTAGAAATAAAACGGGTGAAGCTGGTAAATAATTTATATTTTCCTCAAGATCACCGACCACTTCTCTAGTGGGGTAACACTCTTTTGAGTAGTGTAGATCCCTTACGTCTGCTAAGATTTGTTTTGCGGCGGTGTGTATGATCCTAAACTTTTTTTGTGGAGATTTCACTTTCTTTTTGTTGTTTCCAATATTGGTCTGATATCTTTTCAGCACTCATTCGGATTGTGACAACACTATCCCTGCCCTGAATGTTTGTAATGACAATGTCACTATCCACAGTTTTCATTAACTTCTTCTTCATGTACTCTTTAGAGTAAGGCTCTACACCTCCCAGATACTCCCGCATTTTCTGGCACAAGTCACCCACGGTTTGCTGCTCGTTGTCATTCACTTTCAGGAGAGAGACTTATACTTTGGAAAAGGCTGTGAGTCGATCCTTGTCTTCTGGCCGTCCTTTCTTGTTTTTTCCTTCTGAGCCATGTGCTTGAAATGCCAATGGAATATTTCTCCCAGTTCTGAAATTTATATTGCATTGTTGAGGATAGACTGCATCAGCTGCATGCAAATTCTGAGCATATTCAATGCGTTCTTTCACTGTTTCAGCCCACTTGTAATCAGGGCCTCGTAGTAAACACAACAGTTCCAAGCTAGCTTGACAGCTCGATGTGCGGACTTGATAAACAGAAATATCGCCTTTCTTTCTCTGGTCTCTTGTAGATCTCCCACAAAGTAGGCAGTCATTGGCAAAGTCAAATTTAGTGGTTGAAGAGCGAAGACTAGCTTTCTTTGAAGCTGACCTATGCTCTCTTTTCCTTCTCAAATCTCGCTTAATTGCATTTTCATCACAGTAGTCATGACGACACTTGGTGTGTAGAATCTGGCCAGGTTAAAAGTCAAGCCTATTTTCACCTCTCGCACGACTTGCCTTCTGAAGACCAGCAACACCTTTTTGTGTCACCATATTTGTTTCCTGGCCGTCACTCAGGGACTGATTACATACAGCACAAATTATGTCTCTGTCTGAGGGACCTGCAGCAAAAAATTTACAAGCAAAATGATGCCAGAGTCCAGCGTAATAGTACAATAAATGATAATAACAATCAAACTATCTATCTATCTATCTATCTATCTATCTATCTATCTATCTATCTATCTATCTATCTATCTATATAGATATGATAAAAATAATAATAAGTTGACGGTGATTAAAATGTCACAAGGGCACAAAAACACCACCACCTCACCATCATCAACAATAAGGGCATTATTGGCTGACAGAAAAATATGGTTTGTCCTTTACAATAGTAATAATCGTGGACAATAATATTAGTACGTATACTAGAAAAATAACAAAACTATAGTGAAACAAAACAATGGGGCCAGAATCAAATTTAAAAAAAAAAAAAAAAATTGCATCAGCCGGGACTTGAATCAGGGACCTTTAGATTGTCAGGTAAGCGATTTACTCACTGCGCTCCTGTGTAACCACAAAATAATATATTTTTAAAGGGTTTTTCATGTTGCGGGGTTTGTCATCATATCGGCTGTACGAGCACGATCATTGTTCTCGATGTAAATACTGTACAATTATGGATAAATAAATAAAAACTGCTAAGAGTGATGATTAGTTTTTTTTTTTTTTACCAAATGATGAATTTGATGGATTGCTTTCAGCGTGATCACGTTGCGTCGCCATGGTCTACCAGTGATGTGTTTATTTATTATTAGCAGTCATCACAAACCACGGTAATTAATTGGGTATTCCCAATTAATTGATCATTGATCTATTTGTAGCTCGTCGTAAACTAAAAATAAACCAGGATCACTGCGCAGCCGCATTACTATGGGAAAATTTAGCATGGCACGTAGTTGAATGAGTTCTCGAGATTAAACGGATTTTTAGACATCTCGCAAACATTACATTTTTCTCCTTTTTTGATGTGTTAAACAAAATGATAACAGCAAACAAATGCAACAAATTTAAATTCTTTTGCAATTAAATTGAAGTGAAACTGGTTTAAGACTAATCTAATAGTAGAGTGCTACAGCTTGCAGGAGGCGGTAGTGTCCAGTTCGGTCGTTCTTCCCGATACTCGTTTGTGATTGCTGCACAACGGCCGTCACGATTTGGGTGGTTTAGGAGGCTGGCTGCTTCTAACGTACGAGCCACTTAGGGAGGATTTGGGCTGAGTGATATGTAGCCTCGCTACGGCTCTAGACAGAAATACGAGATACAATATTTGTGTCACGACGATGATATCTATTATCTATTTATGGTGGCCGAATTTTGCTATTCAAAAGGCTTTTTGATGGCTACATCGATCGACATGCGGTTTTCACCAAAAGATTCTTTAAAATATTCTCCTGATCATGATGCCCTTCGTTTTTTCCGTTTTGAAACAGTTTTGCTGCAAAAAAAATACAATTTCTTTATTTCGCCGATCGCTTTTGTAGGCCGACGCTTCTGTCTCTGTAATTTTAGAAAATCCACCAAGTTTGTTTATTTAGTGGCGTCGGTGGCCTAGTGGTTAGGCTCTCGGACTCGCAACCGTAAGGTCGTGGGTTCGAATCCCGTCAGGGACCCGACGTTGTGTCCTTGGGAAAGGCACTTTACACGAATTTTCCTCACTTCACCCAGGTGGGAATGGGTACCCGGCTTTAGACAGCGAAAGATCTTGTCAGTTTGTTAGTGTTTGAGCGCTTAATCAGCTGCTTGCACTGTATGCTTCCCGGGAAGCTGAGAATGTTTCGGAGTGTTCTATGGTCTGCTGGGGTAATAATATAGTGTAAAGGGCATAGAGCCTGCTGTTGAGCGGGGATATGCGCTATACAAATGCTATCTATTATTATTTCAAGTCGTACTTCCGTTCTATACTATTGCGCATTGTCGCGCAATACTGAGAACTATTTTAAGTGTGCGACCCGTATACATCTAGCCTCATGTTTTGGTGCTAAATTCGACTGTGGTCCTTTCGTTTGATGCCCATCATCGCTTTTTCTGGACTCCTTTGTCAAATTCTTTTTCTTGCTACTGGGAACAACGTCAACATGTTTTAGATAAGAATCTAGATCTAGATCTAGATAGCGCCTGACCATGCCGAAAAGAAAACGACGTTCTACAGTTGGAACCCCTCCCGCTCGCAAAGGTCGAGGTAGTAGGCCAATGACTTTCAGTTGATGTTAATGTACCCATCATCCCTTTCATTGAAAGGGGGCCAAGCTAGATATATGTATATATTGCTTTTGCTTTTATCCGCCACTTATACCCTTTCAGGTGTCGCGGGAAGAAAGAAACGTCTCTTTGTC